TGTAGCAAAATTTCAATTCTTCTTTCAGTGCTGAGAAGCTAGATGTGATGTTTGCCATGAAGAAATACAAATAAAAGCTTGAAAGGCATTTACTACAGTACTCCCCTAAATGAAAAAGCTAAACTTTTAAGTCTATGCATTGCCTTTTTTAGTCGAGAAAAGGGAAAGACTTTTGCAATGGCAAAATGGAAAACTGTACCATGCACTCTTGGCATAAAATCATGTTGAACGACATCAAAATGTATGTTCACATGGAGAGCATTTTTAATATATCTGTTTTTACCAATGTTTAAAATACTGAAACATGGCATGAAAAACATGAGATATAAGCCATATGTTGATAAAACACATGAAAATATTTGTGGTTTATAATTATGAGAAATTAGTTATTAAAGAGCTTGTGGAAAGTACTGGATGGACAGTCCTAGTAGTATGTAGACCTAGTGAACGGGAAAGTTTTCCCGTGCTAGTCCCAGGTGTACGCTTCAACCCCACCTGAGGTGAAGGGACTATCTCATGACAAACATAAGCAGCTCTCCATGGTGCATTTTGTCGCATGAAATACTAATAGTATTGCCAACACCCTCTGTGTCAACAGTTCTGTGCTGAATACATACAGCCATGGGGAACTACATTTCATACATGTGCTTAAATTGTAAGAACATATCATCATCACTTATCTGAGGAGGATTTAAACCAGCAGCCCAGAAATGAAGTTATTTTATTGCAACAGCAGTTACTTTTAGTATGGTTTCTACTACATCACACAGAAGGATAGCCTCTGTCCAGAGAAATGTACACTCAAAGTATAAGAAGAAAACCCAACAGATGGATACAATAGTGTGACCAAATTAGCCAACATAAAAAGCACTGGGTACAATACAGCAGCCCCCAAATAAGTCACCTGCTACCCGTACCCTAGGTCATTCAGGCTCCTCCCTAACACGTAAGCGTATCTTGCAGTGATTTTTGTCATGAGACAGATAAGCCATTTCCAGTTTTAAAATTTGTCTGGAGTATTTGGAGGGATCCTGTGTTACTTGGTAATGATAAAGGTAGGG